GACTCATAGGAGTATCTGCAAAGCTCAAGAGCAACAAATCAGAAACCAATAGCACGAGCAAAGGTAAGACATCAAAAAACTGAATTACCTTCTGCTTCGATGTTTGGAGGGTTGAAGCCCTGGTAAGAAGGTGGCTCATCCATGGGTTGTGATGAAAACTCTGGGACTGAAGATGTATCTTTAAGCATGGTCCCCTCATCAACCGGTTTGGATGAAGTAGCCTCAGCAGAGGATGATGGAGCAGGAGTTGTCGATGCCAAAGCCTTTGAAGGAGTGGCTGAGCTTTTCTGAAAAGTCCAAAAGATCATCAGTACACAGAAAAGTTTCAAATGTGGAAAAGCATATTTGTAAATAGACCAATTTAATTACCTTCCTCCTGACGATAAGAGGGGCATCATCATCATCAACATCATCTTCCAGAATGGGAGATGCTGAGGCTGGCCGTTTGCGGCTTGGAGCACTCTTGGCCGTAGTAGGCCTGGCAGGGAGAGAAGAAGATGGACGAGCAGATTGTTTAGTGCGACGAGAAGGAGAGGGGCTCCGAATAGACAAAGGAGTTACCAAAACAGGAGGAGGAGGAGAAATACTCGGTTGGTCTAATGAATGAAAGGCACGATTGGCCTTAGTCGCAAATAATCTGCGCTTCACCGATGGCCAGAGTTGTTCAAAAAGAGGGTGAGTGGCATGATAAGAATTAAAAGGGGCTAATGAAAAGTGGCTTGATAAATGGAGGTTGCAAGCGTTTATAGCCTCTGCTTCCGCCTTATTAATGGTATGAAAACGGTCAATTAAGTTCTTCGAATAGCAAAGAGGAACAGGCCAAGTTTGGCCAAAATCAAGCTGGCGAGCAAAAAATTGGGGAGCATAAATTTCTACCCCCGCTTTGGCATTGGTTCCAGTTAAGATATCATGGAAAAGCTCCCTCCCGGTTAAAAACTGGATCCAAATGAGCAGAGAGTTGCTCGCGCTATCTATAGTGGAAGGGGGATGTACATAGTTTGGAGTCAAGAAATGAGGAAAAGGAAAAAAGGAAGAGATTGAATCTAAAGAATAAAAGAGAGAAAAAATGTCCCTTCTGGACATATTTACAGGAGTTGGGGGCTCCATAGCTAACCCGTAACAGCTAGTAGAAGGACAAGAAATGGATAGAGCACCAAGCGATGGAAAGTAGGATCTCAACCACAGTTGAGTAAACCAAAGAGGTCCACTGCCAGTGAGAGATGCACCATTCTTCAATTGAGCTTGAAGAGAGGCCATGCCTCTATAAAGGGCAGCCAAAAACAAAGAACATAAATTCAAAGGCCTGCCACGCGCCAATTCGTGCGCTATGGGTAAATAACTCAGAGAAGGCTTTATACTTGGCACGCACAACACATATTTACAAAGCCAAACTAAAAGGAAAGCTACTCGCTCAGTATGGGTAGGCTTAGCACTCGAATGATTGTGGAGGGTCTGCAGGCTTGAATAAGAATCGGTATAGTTTTTACCAAACTGTGGGGCGTCACCAGAAACTAAGATACCTGGGAAAATGGTATCGCCCAAAGGTGGTAAATTCACCCGGGCCCCAACATCCCTTAACGTAATAGACATGGGGCCAAGAAGAAAAATAAAGGTGTTATACTCAGGGGACCAAAAACTCAAAGCAATCGAAAAGAGCGCTGAATCAAAAGTAGGGGGGCGAATAAAGACTTCTAACAAATCAGAAATCCTAGCGCGATCAAAAAGTGCCTTAGTAGGACCATGGCCCACAATGCGAGCATGCCACCTACGAAAAGCTACATCAGATTTAGGCCAAGTGCGAATACCTCTTTCGCGAAGTGGCCCCAGCGGCAGAGAGTTTAGAAAAGGAGGGCCATGAGTGCAAGGAAACAGCTGACCCACCGCCGCCTGTTCAACTGCCTCCGCATTGTTGAAGAAAGGACACCCAAGTAAAACTCATTACGTCCAACGTCGGCGGGGGCGAGAAAACTTGGGGTTATGTATGGACGACTCAGAAGTTTCTGAAAGTCATCAAAACTAAAGGAGTCGCTAGTTTGAGATTGTGAAGCAGCCATTAGAGAAAGAACAAAGCTTTTCAGGGTTACGTAACAAGGAAGCAAAAGATGAACAGTGAATCGTGAAAGAGATGTAAAAAATATGATGCGTGGTTTGGTAGCAGTGAAATGGCGTGTTTGGGGTTTATAAAGGTTTGCAAAACGACGCACTTTTTCAAGTTATAGAAGGAAACAATGATTGAAATTCATGGAAATTTCGAACGTTGCTGGAAACATGAAGTGAATATGGCAAAATTCAATAATTATTATTAATTCTGCTATATTGGGGGGTAATTGTTGACACATAAAAATTCAGCCCAAATCGAACAGCCCAAGGAGTAAAGCCCAATTGGAGGATCCCCAAATCAGATAGCCCAAAGAACGAAGTCCAATCGAACGAATCAAGGTGAAGGCCCAAATAAGGGGCCCAAGAATGCGGTAACGCAATCGCCTAAAGTTTGCAAGTCGCCCAGAATCTGAACGAATAGAGTGTCATACGGTCGCTCAGAGCTGTTATTCTATTCTCGCCCAAACCTTCAAGTAGCCCAAGGTATCAACAGACATAACGCATCGTGGTTATCAAGAAATGCAGTTATCAAGGCAGCTGTTAAAGTAGCCCTATCACTTTCCACGACTCAAGGAATTCAATCGAAAGCGGTTGAACGATAAAAGGTAATGGCAGCAGTTAAAAGGCAGTTTTATGACAAAATGGCCACTACGAAGAAAGTGGGTAGTTATAGGACGATCAAGCAGTTTTTAGAGTAGTTAATCACAAAAAGATCGTCTATGAGGTATAAAAGGGAGAAAGGACGTAGAAGCAAAGGACCGAATCCAAAACTCTCGAACAGAGAATATGTAATTTTCATTTCCTTAGCTTTTAGACTTAAACACTTTTCTTTCTGTAACTCGTGTGCTTGCGCCCCTTGGAGGCACGTTGTTTTCCATTTCCAATTGTAAAGTTCATCGCCAATAAAAGAACACCCCTTTTTGGGATTTTGTCTCAAGAGGTTTCGTCCCTTACACAATCGTTTGATCCTTTTTAATTGTTAGCGACTTAACCCGCGCGAAATAACATCAAAAGCAGTGCAACTTACCATTTGCTTCTGGTACATTTCTCAATGCAATAGCAACAGCTTTGATGATGATGTCATTCACTGAGACTTTTACACCATATTTTGCTGGGAAAAAAATTGAGATTGAACTTATATTAGTGCTTTGAGAAGAGAAAAGTAATAAAACAGAGATCAAAGGCACATACTTTTAAGCTCCTTCCTAAAGGAGAGAGGAGGATCCAGTATGACATCTAAATTGAAATCTTTAATATGAGTATCAGATGGGTAGGGCTAGATATATAATACTATGAGTACAAAAATCTTAGGAAGTTTGAGACCTGTGGACAAATATAAATGAGGTATAGACTGTTTTGATTCCAACAACCGTGCTGCTATCACCTGGAAAGGGTTTAACAGCATTGAGTAATTTTAAATAAACGTTTTTGTCATACAGTGCTTTGCATTGTTAATTATTTCACAAAACAAAAAGAAACCATCCATGAGAAGTCCATATCATAGTCGTGCTGTATGATATCAATTACAGCAAAAAAATATACGTCGATTGAGTAAATGAAGTGGAAAAGCTAATAGGTTTGACAGCTAAAGAAGCACCAGTAACACTCAACTTCCGTGACTATCTTCTGTTTGGCTCATCATAAAGAAATATATATATAATTAAATTTCCTAAAAAATCAATTTTTCCACACACGAGTGAATCTAAGGCCAATCCTCTGAAAGTGTGAAGAGTTAATCAAACCACGAACCCTAGTTAAACGTACAAGGGTTTGGATAATTGTTTACATCTTCTATTTCTAACTGAAAAGTGATAGCATTTATGTATTAGAATCACTTTCTGTTTCAATTGACCATATGAAAGGTGCATGGAAAAGCCAAGTGATATAGATAATACTCCAATTGTTACAACTCACATTTTTATCTAGTCAAAGTGGATAGTGGAATTTTCAAAGTCAAGTCAAATGAGGACTTGTATGAAATAAATCATTTTTATTGGGACTTGATTGACTAAATCATTTTATTTGGGTTTATCTTATAAATTATAAATATTTTCAAGGTTAAGTTGAACAAAATAAAAAAATTGTTTTGGGATTTATTTATATATTTTTGGAAGTTGAGGATTTACTTGTATGTTGTAATTAGATTTAAGGGACTTTCTTTGCAAATTGAACATGTGCGACTTTAAAATTCAACCTTTGACCATTCTTTTTCTCCCAAAACCCACCCCTACACACACAGTGACGCGAGAGAAGAAGAGACCGTGAGAGAAAAAAGAAAAAGGAAAAGAAGAAAGGAAAAAGAAGAAGAAAAAGGAAGGAAGAAAAAAAAAAGGGAAGAAGAAAAGAGGTAAGGCTGATCTCTTCAAGTTGGGATATAATTTATCCATTGTTTCAAGTGATAAAGGTGTGATTTATATTAAAATTTTAGGGTTTTAACTTGTAGTAATAAAATGTCAAATTTAGGTGATATATGTAGGATTTGGAGCTCAAGCTTGAGGATTAATTAAGTTTCAGTTTCAGCAAGGTAGGTAGTAAAATTTTTGGGGAAACCCTAGAATTCGATTTTGGATTTTTGATTAATTAATTGTGAAAATGATTATATAAATAGAATATTTCACTTGGGAGTTGATTTTATGGAACAAAATGTATATTAAATGGGTGGAATTATGGTTACTAGTTTCACTAGATTGGAGAGTAAAATTAGTTTTTAACTTGGGAAGAAGGTTTTGTTGATGAATTAGTTATTAGAAAAGGGATTAGAAAGTGAGATTAGCTCCAATTGATCAAAAGAATATTTGGAAAATTCATTCGAGCATCGACCAATTTTAGTTAAGTATTATAGAAATAGATCTTAAAGTTTCTTAATTTAATAGTGGTTGATTAGTCATCTTGTTATGTATTCCAGGTGGTCACGAGGAGATTGAAAGAGCATATCAATCATCTTAGGTTCAACTTGCATTATGTGAGTGGATAAACTTATTTTTCAGAAATTAGTATTTATTTAATTTATATTAACTCAGAAAATTTATTAATTCATACAGTCGATTTGACAACACGATTTTCAGAATAAAATTGATTTATAACCAGTTGTTTTTAAAAGTTAAATTCAATTTAGTAAATCATTTTATTAGCATGTTATATGAGTATTAAATATTTCAGTATATTTAAAGTTATTTTCTAAAAAAAACCACCAGAAAGTACTCATGTGATTTTACCTCGTCTGCACTGGTGTGAATGTGTTTCCACAGCGTATGATCAGTATAGTGATTTTACCCGCTCTGCACTATTGTGAATGTGTTTCCATGGTGTATGACCATTTTATAGCTCTGCACGCGTACTTTCAGAATTATAGGATTACAGAATTTCAGAATTGAATAACCTTGCTATGTATATCGAGATTAATCGATACACCAGTATGGTTATTCCATGTACATTTTTGGTTTGATGTTTCAGTATTACATAGATTATCAGATTTTAGAAATGCAATATACAAAATAAAGATGTTTATGATCACAGTATATTTTAGTTTTAATTGTATTATCAGATTTTAAGCTACAGAATTCAGCTTATTCAGTTTAAAGAATAAATATTTTAGTTTATATGCCTGTGAAAATAAATTTTATACTATATGTCGATTTTCAGAAAGATTTTATGAATGGAAAAGTATACATTTACAAATATCCACTCACTGAGTCGCAAGCTCATATTTTTGCCACCTCATTTCTTATCATATAGAAGCTGTGTTGAGCCATATCGGAGCTTGTCGATCGGCGAGTTGTATGTCTCATCTTGTTAATTCATACAACACATATTTTCTGGGATTGATGTATTTTGTGTCAGAAAATGTATTAAGTCACAAGCTCATTGCATATTTTGTGTATGTTTTGAAATGAAGTTGTTTGGTGGTAAAGAAGGGTAAATTTCTTTTTCAGTACAACTACTTTGAAGAATTGGTATTTTGAAGGGCCGATGTACCATGTTTTAAACTATATGTACATGTTTAGGATATTTTATTTTATTTTCAGGTGGTTTTAGTCCATTTTTCAAAGGGAACTCTGCCGAAATTTTTATAGAATTATAACAGTCAAAGCATGTCAAGTTTGCCTTGGTGGTGGGTCCAGCACTTCGCTAGTATCTACCATCGGCGCACGACACGTGTCGGATCCATTAGGGTGATTCGAGACGGGTCGTGTCAATTGGTATTAGAGCATGGTTATAAAGTCAGTTTGCATGGTTTATTTGATTTTTGTTCTCATCATATCATACATATTTTGTTTTTTGGAAGTCATGGCTAGTGGTAATAAGACACGCAGGCTCCAAGATATGTCGTCTCAACTAGCAGCTGTTCCTGATGGGGATGCCAGTAGGGTCGAGGAATCAGTTCATCCGACCCATGATTAGCGAAGATATGGGGATGTAGCCAAGCCTGACTTAATAGCTGATAGGATTGCCACCGCTGTTGCTTCTGCTCTACGCAATACAAATAAAGATTGTAGTATAGAGCGGGCTACTAAATTAGGAGCTAAAGTATTTACAGGCACAGCTGATCCTGTAGAAGCAGAATCATGGATGGTGAGGATTGAAAGAATATTTGATGTGATGGATTGTCTTGATGATCGAAAATTACGACTAGCTACTTTCTTGCTAGAAGGAAATGCTTATGATTGGTGGAGGTCCGTACAGAGTAAATATGTTGATCCTTCTGTGATCACGTGGAGCGAGTTTAAAGATGATTTTAATGAGCACTTCTACCATCATTCTTACAAGACTGACAAACAGAATGAATTTTTGAGACTAGTACAGACATCAATAGTGGCGGAGTATCAAAAGAAATTTCTAGAATTATCAAAGTATGATGCTGCTCTTGTAGCTGATGAAGTTGATAAATGCAGAAGATTTGAGTATGGCCTGAGAGAAGAAACTAGATCAGTGGTGACTGCGTCTGGGTATGAAAATTTGGGTAAACTTGTAGAAGCAACGTTAAGGGTTGAGAAAAGTTTGTTTGAACAACATGGTGGTCAACAACAAATGAGACCGGGAATTGGAAGCAGTAGTCAGACATGGGCAGGAAGATCTATGACTAGGCCACCGAGGAAAGATCACAGAGGAGGTGGATTAGGTGTTTCCACTTCTGGTAGTTTTAAGTCCAGATCTCATGGCAGTCAGGGCTCGAGGTCGAGTCAGGGATCAGTACAGTAGCTAGGGAGTAACCGTACTCAGACTCAGAGATCTTCTCAGAGATCATTTACTCCTGGACAGAGTGATAGCTCTGGTGTGGCCAGATTTCTCTAGTGCCAGTTGTGCGAAAAATTTCACCCTGGTGAGTGTCTTAAGGGAATTGAAGTGTGTTATCATTGTGGTCAGAGGGGACACATGAGGAGAGAGTGTCTAGTTCATTTCCAGCAGGGTGGCATAGCATAGGGGGTTTCTTTACAGTCGGGTGCTGGCATTTCTAGACAGAATCTGAATCAGAATACTTTGGCAGGTAAAGAAGGTACTACTAGTGCTACTCAGTCTGATGCTGCTGACAGCAGTGGTACTAGACAGAAACGGACCCGTCCCGAATCACCCTAATGGATTCGACACATGTCGTGCGCTGATGGTAGATACCAGCGAAGTGTCGGACCCACCACCAAGGCAAACTTAACATGCTTTGACTTTTATAATTCTATAAGAATTTCGGGAGAGTTCCCTTTGAAAAATGGACTAAAACCACTTGAAAATAAAATCAAATATCCCAAACATGTATATATAGTTTAAAAAAGGGTACACCGACCCCTTAAAATACCAATTCTTCAAAGTAGTTGTACTGAAAAAGAAATTTACCCTTCTTTACCACTAAACAACTTCATTTCAAAGCATACACAAAATATGCAATGAGCCTTTGACTTTATACATTTTCTGACACAAAATACATCAATCCCAGAAAATATGTGTTGTATGAATTAACAAGATGAGACATACAAACAATGACACGATGTAGTTCAACTCGCTGATCGACAGGCTCCAATATGGCTCAACGCAGCTTCTATCTAATAAGAAATGAGGTGACAAAAATATGAGCTTGCGACTCAGTGAGTGGATATTTGTAAAAGTATACTTTTTCATTCATAAAATCTTTCTGAAAACCGACATATAGCATTAAATTTCTTTTCACAGACATATAAACTAAAATATTTATTCTTTAAACTGAATAAGCTGAATTCTGTAGCTTAAAATCTGATAATACTATCAAAATTAAAATATACTGTAATCATAAACATCTTTATTCTGTATACTGCATTTCTAAAATCTGATAAGCTATGTAATACTGAAACATCACATCAAAAATGTACCCGAAATAACCATACTCGTGTATCGATTAATCTCGATATACATAGCAAGGTTATTCAATTCTGAAATTCTATAATTCTGTAATCCTGTAATTTTGAAATTTTGAAATTTTGTAATTCTGGTCGTATGCGCGCAGAGCTATAAAATGGTCATACACCATGAAAACACATTCACAATAGTACAGAGCGGGTGAAATCACTATACTAATTATACGTTGTAGAAACACATTCATACCAGCGCAGAGTGGGTAAAATAACCATATAAAGTTATACACTGTGGAAATACATTCACACTAGTACAGACGAGGGTAAAATCATCTGGATACTTTCTAGTAGTTTTTTTTTAGAAAATAACTTTAAATATGCTGAAACATTTAATACTCATATAACATGCTAATAAAATGATTTACTAAATCGAATTTAACTTTTAAAAACAATTGGTTATAAATCAACTTTATTCTGAAAATCGTGTTGTCAAATCGACTGTATGAATTAATAAATTTTCTGAGTTAATATAAATTAAATAAATACTAATTTCTGAAAAATAAGTTTATTCACTCACATAATACAAGCAGAACCTAAGATGGTCGATAGGCTCTTCCAATCTCCTCGTCACCACCTGGAATACATAACAAGATGACTAATCAACCACTATTAAATTAAGAAACTTTAAGATTTACTTCTATAATACTTAACTAAAATTGGTCGATACTCGAATGAATTTCCCAAATATTCTTTTGATCAATTGGAGCTAATCTCACTTTCTAATCCCCTTTCTAATAACTAATTCATCAACAAAACCTTCTTCCCAAGTTTAAAACTAATTTTACTCTCCAATCTAGTGAAACTAGTAACCATAATTTCACCCATTTAATATACATTTTATTCCATAAAATCAACTCCCAAGGGAAATATTCCATTTATATAATCATTTTCACAATTAATTAATCAAAAATCCGAAATCGAATTCTAGGGTTTCCCTAAAAATTTTACTGCCTACCTTGCTGAAACTGAAACTTAATTAATCCCCAAGCTTAGCTCCAAATCCTACATATATCACCTAAATTTGACATTTTAATACTACAAGTTAAAACCCTAAAAATTTAACATAAATCACACCTTTATCACTTGGAACAATGGATAAATTATATCCCAACTTGAAGAGATTAGCCTTACCTCTTTTTTTCTTCCCTTTTTTTTCCTTCCTTTTTCTTCTTCTTTTTTCCTTTCTTCTTTTCCTTTTTCTTTCTTCTCTCACAGTCTCTGCTTCTTTCGCGTTACTGTGTGTGTAGGGGTGGGTTTTGGGAGAAAAAGAAAGGTCAAAGGTTGAATTTTAAAGTCCCACATGTTCAATTTGCAAAGAAAGTCCTTTAAATCTAATTACAACATACAAGTAAATCCTCAACTTCCAAAAATATATAAATAATCCCAATTTTTTTTTTATTTTGTCCAACTTAACCTTCAAAATATTTATAATTTATAAGATAAACCCAAATAAAATGATTTGGTCAATCAAGTCCCAAAAAAATGATTTGTTTCATACAAGTCCTCATTTGACTTGATTTTGAAAATTTCACAATTGACTTTGACTAGATAAAAATGTGGGTTGTAACAATCTTACCTCCTTAAAAGAATTTCGTCCTCGAAATTCAACTGGCAACTAACTGGGTAATGAATAAGTGAGGATATTGAGCACACATCTGATCCTCATTCTCCCACGTAGCCTCTTCTATTGTCTGATTCTGCCAAAGTACCTTAACAATGCGATTGTGTATTGACTACAGATAGCTTAATAAAGTGACTATTCGCAATAAGTACCCTTTGCCTCGTATTGATGATTTGTTTGACCAACTTAGAGGTGCTACAGTATTTTCTAAGGTTGATCTGCGCTCAGGGTACTATCAACTCAAAATTAAGGATGTTGATGTGCAGAAAACTGTCTTTAGGTCACGGTATGGCCATTATGAGTTTCTGGTGATGCCGTTTGGGTTGGCTAATGCCCCAGCAGCATATATGGCCTTGATGAATAGGGTACTTCACCCATATTTAGACAAATTTATGATTGTTTTCATTGATGATATCTTAGTTTATTCTCGTAGTAGAGATGAGCATGTTGAGCATTTGAGGATTATTTTGCAAACTTTGCGAGATAAGCAGTTGTATGCTAAGTTCAGCAAATGTGAATTTTGGCTGGATAAAGTTGTATTTTTGGGTCATGTTATCTCAGCTGAAGGTATTTATGTAGATCCTCAGAAAATTGAAGTAGTAACGAAATGGGAACGCCCTACTAATGTTACAGAAGTACGAAGTTTTCTTAGGTTAGCAGGTTATTATCGTCAATTTGTAGGGGATTTTTCCAAAATTACTCTTCCTTTAACTAGTTTGACTCGAAAGAACTCCAAATTTTTGTGGACTGATGAATGTGAAAAGAGTTTTCAAGAGTTCAAGAAAAGATTAGTTTCTACTCCTATATTTACCCTTCCATCTCCAGGTAAAGAGTTTGTGATTTATAGTGATGCTTCACGCCAAGGATTGGGTTGTGTTTAATGTAGAATGGGAAAGTTGTAGCTTATGCTTCTAGACAATTGAAAAAGCAAGAGTTAAATTACACAACTCATGATTTGGAATTAGCTGCAATGGTATTGGCATTAAAGATTTGCAGGCACTACCTATATGGTGAGAAATGTCAAATATTTACCGAACATAAAAGTCTAAAGTATATCTTTGATCAGAAGGAACTAAATCTAAGACAGAGAAGATGGTTGGAATTGACAAAGGATTATGATTGTCAGATTGACTACCATCTGGGGAAAGCTAACGTAGTTGCAGATGCTCTCAGTAGAAAGACTAGTTCTTCATCTCCATCTAGTGCAGTATATACTTCTTTGATTTGTGAGTTCAAGAAGTTACACACTCAGTTGTCAGTGACTACTTCAGGGGCATTATTAGCTCATTTTCAGGTAAGACCTTCTTTGATTGATAAGGTTAGAGAAGCTCAATCTGAAGACTTGACATTGAGAACTTTGAAAGCAGAAGTTAGTGTTGGGTTACGAATGGATTATGTTATTAGGAATGATGGTGCATTGGCTATGGGTAATAGATTATGTGTTCCAGATATTTCAGAATTGAAAAAGGAAATTTTAGAAGAGGCACATAGTTCTGCTTATGCTATGCATCCAGGCAGTAGTAAAATGTATCATACATTGAAAGATCATTACTAGTGGCTTGGATTGAAGAGAGAAATAGCAGATTTTGTATCCAATGTCTTATCTGTCAGCAGGTAAAGCTAGCTCGTAAGAAAATAGCAGGATATATGTGTGAATCTCTTCAAGTTGGGATGTAATTTATCTATTATTCCAAGTGATAAAGGTGTGATTTATGTTAAAATTTTAGGGTTTTAACTTGTAGTAATAAAATGTCAAATTTAAGTGATATATGTGCGATTTGGAGCTCAAGCTTGGGGATTAATTAAGTTACAGTTTTAGCAAGGTAGGCAATAAAATTTTTGGGGAAACCCTAGAATTCGATTTCGGATTTTTGATTAATTAATTGTGAAAATGATTATATAAATTGAATATTTCACTTGGGAGTTGATTTTATGGAACTAAATGTATATTAAATGGGTGGAATTATGGTTACTAGTTTCACTAGATTGGAGAGTAAAATTAGTTTTAAACTTGGGAAGAAGGATTTGTTGATGAATTAGTTATTAGAAAATGGATTAGAAAGTGGGATTAGCTCCAATTGATCAAAAGAATATTTGGAAAATTCATTCGAGCATCGACCAATTTTAGTTAAGTATTATAGAAGTAGATCTTAAAGTTTCTTAATTTAATTGTGGTTGATTAGTCATCTTGTTATGTATTCCAGGTGGTGACGAGGAGATTGGAAGAGCCTATCGGCCATCTTAAGTTCAGCTTGTATTATGTGAGCGGATAAGCTTATTTTTCAGAAATTAGTATTTATTTAATTTATATTAACTCATAAAATTTATTAATTCATACAATCGATTTAACAACACAATTTTCAGAATAAAGTTGATTTATAACCAGTTGTTTTTAAAAGTTAAATTCAATTTAGTAAATCATTTTGTTAGCATGTTATATGAGTATTAAATGTTTCAACATATTTAAAGTTATTTTCTAAAAAAAAAAAAAAAAAACCACCAGAAAGTACCCAAGTGATTTTACCCTCGTCTGCACTGGTGTGAATTGTTTTCACAGTGTATGACTTCATATGGTTATTTTACCCACTCTGCACTAGTGTAAATATGTTTCCACAACGTATGATCAGTATAGTGATTTTACCCGCTTTGCACTATTGTGAATGTGTTTCCATGGTGTATAACCATTTCATAGCTCTGCGCGCATACGACCAAAATTACGAAATTTCAGAATTTCAGAATTGAATAACCTTGATATGTATATCGAGATTAATCGATACACCAGTATGGTTATTTCGAGTACATTTTTGGTGTGATGTTTCAGTATTACATAGCTTATCAGATTTTAGAAATGCAGAAGATGTTTATGATTACAGTATATTTTAGTTTTGATAGTATTATCAGATTTTAAGCTACAGAATTCAGCTTATTCAGTTTAAAGAATAAATATTTTAGTTTATATGTCTGTGAAAAGAAATTTTATGCTATATGTCGATTTTCAGAAAGATTTTATGAATGAAAAAATATACTTTTACAAATATCCACTCACTGAGTCGCAAGCTTATATTTTTGCCACCTCATTTCTTATCAGATAGAAGCTGCGTTGAGCCATATCAGATCTTGTCGATTGGCAAGTTGAACAACATCGTGTCATTTTTTGTATGTCTCATCTTGTTAATTCATACAACACATATTTTCTGGGATTGATGTATTTTGTGTCAGAAAATGTATTAAGTCACAGACTCATTGCATATTTTGTGTATGTTTTGAAACGAAGTTGTTTGGTGGTAAAGAAGGGTAAATTTCGTTTTCAGTACAACTACTTTGAAGAATTGGTATCTTGAGGGGCCGATGTACCTTGTTTTAAACTATATGTACATGTTTGGGATATTTGATTTTATTTTCAGGTGGTTTTAATCCATTTTTCAGAGGGAACTCTGTCGAAATTTTTATAAAATTATAAAAGTCAAAGCATGTCAAGTTTGCCTTGGTGGTGGGTCCGGCATTTCGCTGGCATCTACCATCAGCGCACGACACGTGTTGGATCCATTGGGGTTGTTCGGGACGGGTCCATTTCTATCTAGTACCACTGCTGCCAGCAACATCGGACTGAGTAGCACTAGTTGCACTTGTTTTCCCTGCCAAAGTATTCTGATTCTTATTCTGTCTAGAAATGCCAGCACCCGACTGCAAAGAAACCCCCTGTGGTATACCACCCTCTGGAAACGAACTGGACACTCTCTCCTCATGTGTCCCGTTTAACCACAATGATAACACACTCCAATTCCCTTAAGACACTCACCAGGGTGAAATTTCCCGCACAACTGGCACTGGGGAAATCTGGCCACACCAGAGCTATCACTCTATCCAAACATATAAATTAAAATATTTATTCTTCAAACTGAATAAGCTGAATTCTATAGTTTAAAATCTGATAATACTATCAAAACTAAAATATACTGTAATCATAAATATCTTTATTGTGTATACTGTATTTATAAAATCTGATAAGCTATGTAATACTGAAACATCATACCAAAAATGTATCCGGAATAACGTGGGGCGAGTTTAAAGATAATTTTAATGAGCATTTCTACCTTCGTTCTTACAAGACTGACAAACAGAATGAATTTTTGAGAATAGTACAGACATCAACAGTGGCAGAGTATCAGAAGAAATTTCTACAATTATCAAAGTATGCTGCTGCTCTTGTAGCTGATGAAGTTGATAAATTCAGAAGATTTGAGTATGTCATGAGAGAAGAAATTAGATCAGTGGTGACTGCGTCTGGGTATGAAAATTTGGGTAAACTTGTAGAAGCAGCATTAAGGGTTGAGAAAAGTTTGTTTGAACGGCATGGTGGTCAACAACAAATGAGACCAGGAATTGGAAGCAGTAGTCAAACATGGGCAGGAAGATCTATGACTAGGCCACCGAGGAGGGATCGTAGAGGAGATGGATTAGGTTTTTCCACTTCTGGTAGTTTTAAGTCCAGATCTCATGGCAGTCAGGGCTCGAGGTCGAGTTAGGGATCAGTACAGCAGCTAGGGAGTAACCGTACTCAGACTCAGAGATCTTCTCAGAGATCATTTACTCCTAGACAGAGTGATAGCTCTGGTGTGGCCAGATTTCCCTAGTGCCAGTTGTGCGGGAAATTTCACCCTGGTGAGTGTCATAAGGGAATTGGAGTGTCTTATCATTGTGGTCAGACAGGACACATGAGGAGAGAGTGTCCAGTTCATTTCCAGCAGGGTGGCATACCACAGGGGGTTCTTTGCAGTCGGGTGCTGGCATTTCTAGACAAAATCAGAATCAAAATACTTTGGCAGGTAAAGAAGGTGCTACTAGTGCTATTCAGTCTGATGCTACTGGCAGCAGTGGTACTAGACAGAAAGGCCAGGCTGGACGACCCAGAACTAAGGGAAGAGTGTTTGCAGTGACTCAGCATGATGTCGACGAGTCACCAAATGTGGTTATGGGTACGTTATCTATTTTTGGGAAAAAGGCCCATTCTTTAATAGATTCAGGTACTATATCTTATGCATTTGCTATTTATACGGACCATATGTCAGAATCATTCGATAGTGATTTGGTGGTAGCAACTGCTGTAGGAGATTTACTTTTAGCTAACGGTGTGTACAAAGATTGCGTGATTAGAGTGAATGATCATGAGTTGAAAGCTAATTTGATTCCACTTGATATTCATGATTTTGATGTGATATTGGGCATGAATTTTTTGTCTGTAAATTATGCATCAGTTGATTGTTTTCGCAAAGAAGTGGTGTTTCGAAGGCCAGGAGAGCCTGAAATTGTTTTTAGTAGTGAACGGAGAATACTACCTTCGTGTATCATATCAGTACTTGATGCTGGAAAATTTCTTAGAAAAGGTTGTCAAGCATATTTAGCTCATGCGATTGACACCCAAATCACTAAATTGAAACTTGAAGATACACCAGTGGTAAAAGATTTCCCTAATGTTTTTCTTGATGATCTTCCAGGGTTACCTCCTGATAGGGAAATCAAGTTTACTATTGATTTGATTCCAGGGACTACCCCTATTTCACAATCACCTTACAAAATGGCTTCAGCAGAGCTGAAGGAATTGAAAGTTCAATTGCAGGATTTAGTTGACAAGGGTTTCATTAGACCCGGTGCATCTCCATGGAGAGCTCCAGTCTTATTTGTGAAGAAAAAAGATGGCACAATGAGATTGTATATTGACTACAAACAGTTGAATAAAGTGACAGTACGCAACAAGTATCCATTGCCTCGCATTGATGATTTGTTTGACAAACTTAAAGGTGCCTCAGTGTTTTCAAAGATTGATTTACGTTCGGGGTATCATCAGCTCAGAATTAGAGATATTGATGTACCAAAAACTGCTTTTAGGTCACGGTATGGCCATTATGAGTTTTTGGTGATGCCATTTGGGTTGACTAATGCCCCTGCAGCGTTTATGGACTTGATGAATAGAGTGCTTCGCCCATATTTGGACAGGTTTGTGATTGTTTTTATTGATAATATCTTAGTTTATTCTCGCAGTAGAGATGAACATGCTGAGCATTTGAGGATTATTGTGTAGACTTTGTGAGATAAGCAGTTGTATGCTAAGTTCAGCAAATGTGAATTTTAGCTGGATAAAGTTGTATTTTTGGGTAATGTTATCTCAACTGAACGTATTTATGTAGATCCTCAGAAAATTGAAGCAGTAACGAAATGGGAACGCCCTACTAATGTTACAGAAGTACGGAGTTTTCTTGGGTTAGCAGGTTATTATCGTCAATTTGTAGAGGATTTTTCCAAAATTGCTCTTCCTTTGACTAGTTTGACTCGAAAGAACTCCAAATTTGTGTGGACTGATGAATGTAAAAAGAGTTTTCAAGAGTTGAAGAAAAGATTAGTTTCTACTCCTATATTTACTCTTCCATCTCCAGGTGAAGAGTTTGTGATTTATAGTGATGCTTCACACCAAGGATTGGGTTGTGTTATAATGCAGAATGGGAAAGTTGTAGCTTATGCTTCTAGACAATTGAAGAAGCACGAGTTAAATTACCCAACTCATGATTTGGAGTTAGCTGCAGTAGTGTTGGCATTGAAGATTTGGAGACATTATCTTTATGGTGAGAAATGTCAAATATTTACTGATCAAAAAAGTTTAAAGTATATATTTGATCAGAAAGAACTGAATCTAAGGCAAAGGAGATGGCTGGAGTTGATAAAGGATTATGATTGTAAGATTGACTACCATCCGGGGAAAGCAAATGTAGTTGCAGATGCTCTCAATAGAAAGACAAGTTCATCCTCTCTATCTAGTGCAGTTTATGCTTCTTTGATTTGTGAGTTCAAGAAGTTACACACTGAGTTGACAACTACTACTTCAGGGGCAGTATTAGCTCATTTTCAGGTGAGGCCTACTTTGATTGATAAGGTTATAGAAGCTCAATCTCAAGACCAGACATTGAGAATATTGAAAGCAGAAGTTAGTACTAGGTTAAGAATGGATTATGTGATTAGAGATGATGGGACTTTGGCTATGGGTAATAGATTATGTGTTCCAATGTTCCAGAATTGAAGAAAGAGATTTTGGAAGAAGCACACAGTTCTGCTTATGCTATACATCTAGGCAGTATTAAAATGTATTATACATTGAAAGATCCTTATTGGTGGCTTGGTATGAAGAGAGATAGCGGATTTTGTATCCAAATGTCTTATATGTCAGCAAGTAAAGCCAGTTCGTCAGAAAACAGCAAGACTTTTACAACCATTTCCTATCCCAGAATGGAAATGGAAACACATTACTATGGACTTTTTATTTGGCCTTCCTCATACTCAAAATGGTCATGATGGAATTTGGGTTATCGTAGATCGTTTGACCAAGACGGCCAAATGTTTGTCAATCAAAGCTACTTATACTTTAAATAAGTTGGCAAAGTTGTATGTGGATGAGATAGTGAGCTCTTATGGTACTCCTTTATCTATTGTGTCAGATAGAGACCCTCATTTTACATCTAAATTTTGGCCCAGTTTGCAGGAAGCCATGGGTACTAAACTATATTTCAGTACAGCTTTTCATCCTTAGACAGATGGCCAGTCAGAGAGGACCATGCAGACTCTTGAGGATATGTTGAGGGCTTGTGCTTTAGAGCTCAAGGGTAGCTGGGATACTCATTTTTATTGATAGAGTTTGCTTACAATAACAGCTATCACTCTAGTATAGAAATGACTCCTTTTGAAGCTTTATGTGGTCAAAAGTGCAGGACACCAGTTTGTTAGGATGAAGCTGGTAAGAGGAAATTAGAAGGGCCGGAATTGGTTCAAATGACATCCAAAAATGTGAAATTGATCAAAGAAAAGTTGAATGCAGCTCAAGAGAGACAGAAAAGTTATGCTGATAGGCGCAGGAAAGATCTTGAATTTGAAGTTGGAGATAAAGTCTTTCTTAAATTGTCACCTTGGAAAGGGTGTTGAGATTTGGCAAGCGAGGAAAGTTGAGTCCACGATACATTGGACCCTATGAGATTATTGAGCAGATTGGCCCAGTTGCATACCGATTAGATCTGCCCGATGAATTATCCTGGATCCATGATGTTTTTCATGTTTCCATACTTCATAAGTACATTGCTTATCCTTCTCATGTTCCGGAGTCTCAGTCAATCCAATTGAAGGAAAATTTAACATATATAGAAGAGCTCGTGAGAATTTTAGACAAAAGTTGCAAATTCAGCGAAATCGGACAGTTTCACTTGTTAAAGTACTTTGGCAGAATCAGACAGTAGAAGAGACTACTTGGGAGAATAAGGATCAGATGCGTGGTCAATATCCTCACTTATTCATTACCCAGTCAGTTGCCAGTTGAATTTCGAGGATGAAATTATTTTAAGGAGGTAAGATTGTTACAACTCACATTTTTATCTAGTCAAAGTCAATAGTGAAAATTTCAAAGTCAAGTCAAATGAGGACTTGTATGAAATAAATCATTTTTATTGGGACTTGATTGACCAAATCATTTTATTTGGGTTTATCTTATAAATTATAAATATTTTGAAGGTTAAGTTGAACAAAATAAAAAAAAAGTTTTGGGATTTATTTATATATTTTTGGAAGTTGAGGATTTACTTGTATGTTGTAATTAGATTCAAGGGACTTTCTTTGCAAATTGAACATGTGGGACTTTAAAATTCAACCTTTGACCATTCTTTTTCTCCCAAAACCCACCCCTATACACACAGTGACGCGGGAGAAGCAGAGACCGTGAGAGAAGAAAGAAAAAGGAAAAGAAGAAAGGAAAAAGAAGGAAGAAAAAAAAAGGGAAGAAGAAAAGAGGTAAAGCTAATATCTTCAAGTTGGGATGTAATTTATCCATTGTTCCAAGTGATAAAGGTGTGATTTATGTTAAAATTCTAGGGTTTTAACTTGTAGTAATAAAATGTCAAATTTATGTGATATATGTGCGATTTGGGGCTCAAGCCTGGGGATTAATTAAGTTTCAGTTTCAGCAAGGTAGGCAGTAAAATTTTTGGGGAAACCCTAGAATTCGATTTCGGATTTTTGATTAATTAATTGTGGAAATGATTATATAAATGGAATATTTCACTTGGGAGTTGATTTTATGGAACAAAATGTATATTAAATGGGTGGAATTGTGGTTACTAGTTTCACTAGAATGGAGAGTAAAATTAGTTTTAAACTTGGGAAGAAGATTTTGTTGATGAATTAGTTATTAGAAAAGGGATTAGCTCCAATTGATCAAAAGGATTTTTGGGAAATTCATTCGAGTATCGACCAATTTTAGTTAAGTATTATAGAAGTAGATCTTAAAGTTTCTTAATTTAATTGTGGTTGATTAGTCATCTTGTTATATATTTCAGGTGGTTACGAGGAGATTGGAAGAGCCTATTGACCATCTTAGATTCAGCTTGTATTATGTGAGTGGATAAGCTTATTTTTTAGAAATTAGTATTTATTTAATTTATATTAACTCATAAAATTTATTAATTCATACAATCGATTTGATAACACGATTTTCAGAATAAAGTTGATTTATAACCAGTTGTTTTTAAAAGTTAAATTCAATTTAGTAAATCATTTTATTAGCATGTTATATGAGTATTAAATGTTTCAACATAGTTAAAGTTATTTTCTTAAAAAAAAAAATCACCAAAAAGTACCCAAGTAATTTTACCCTCGTCTGCATTGATGTGAATGTGTTTTCACAGTGTATGACTTCATATAATTATTTTACCCACTCCGCGCTAGTGTGAATGTGTTTCCACAGCGTATAATCAGTATAGTGATTTTACCCGCTCTGCACTATTGTGAATGTGTTTCCATGGTGTATGACCATTTTATAGCTCTGCGCGCGTACGACCAGAATTACAAAATTTCAGAATTGAATAATCTTGCTATGTATATCGAGATTAATCGATACACGAGTATGGTTATTCCGGGTACATTTTTGGTGTGATGTTTCAATATTACATAACTTATCAGATTTTAGAAATGCAATATACAGAATAAAGATGTTTATGATTACAGTATATTTTAGTTTTGATAGTATTATCAGATTTTAAGCTATAGAATTCAGCTTATTCAGTATAAAGGATAAATATTTTAGTTTATATGTCTGTGAAAAGAAATTTTATGCTATATGTCGATTTTCAAAAAGATTTTATGAATGGAAAAGTATACTTTTACAAATATCCACTCACTGAGTCGCAAGATCATATTTGGCCACCTCATTTCTTATCAGATAGAAGCTGCATTGAGTTATATCGGAGCCTGTCAATCGGCGAGTTGAACTGCATCGTGTCATTGTTTGTATGTCTCATCTTGTTAATTCATACAACACATATATTCTGATATTGATGTATTCTGTGCCAAAAAATGTATTAAGTCACAGGCTCATTGCATATTTTGTTTATGTTTTAAAATGAAGTTGTTTGGTGGTAAAGAAAGCTAAATTTCTTTTTCAGTACAACTATTTTAAAGAATTGGTATTTTGAAGAGTTGGTGTACCTTGTTTTAAATTATATGTACATGTTTGGAATATTTGATTTTATTTTCAGGTGGTTTTAGTCCATTTTTAAGAGGAAACTCTGTCGAAATTTTTATAGAATCATAACAGTCAAAGCATATCAAGTTTGCCTTGGTGGTGGGTCCAGCACTTCACTGGTATCTACCATCGGCGCACGACACGTGTCGGATCCATTAGGGTAATTCGAAACGGGTCGTGTCACCAACGATTACAAAGATCACATTTCGCAGTTTTGTTTTCTTCCCTTTTTTTGGCAGTTGTGTAGCATATTGCAGCCACAAAGTAGCTCTTTTCAGATCATTTTTTGACTGGCATCCATTTGCATAAGAAGCAGATTACAGGATTGCCTTTGACGATGCTGTTAAAAATGATAAATCCATGCCTTTGTTCATCATACAAGCATTTCTCCATGGGCTTCAATGCTATGGTGCTACCGTATGTAAATACATTCACATAAAGCAAGGTCATCCTACCACTGTCCTCTCATCTTCAACTCACATGACCAATTGTTTCATAGTTCTATTTTATCCCCATCTGCCGTAAAAGTAACATAACTCATTGACCTGTCAGCCTTCTTATATTCTATTTTTGCTTGCAATTCATCCATCTTCACGATGCTTGAATATAATTTGGAGGTGTTGTTACTTGAATAAAATCATTTTACAGACAATATATAAATCAGTATGCAGTTAAAATGAAAGCCACTTTTTTATTGCAGATAAAACATCCCCCTTTAGCAAAGTACCGCGAGGACCAGATGCCATTATTGATAAAGCATCCGACCCACGTTCTATGATTAGTAACTTTGCAGCAGGACAAATTCGAGTGAAACTCGTTTGAGTTTTTATGTCCTTGGTAGTACTATGTTGAACGGACTTTTCTTCTTTGACACCCATAACACCACTAACAGATGTTTTTACAGCTTCGATGCCATTAGGATCCTCAACCTTGAGAGATAGATTACATCGGTTCGCTCATGAAGAAGAGATTAAAACACGAAGTAATTATATGAATACAATGAACTTTCAGGCAATAATCAGCAATACAGAAATTGCACCGTCTTACTTTCAGAAATCAAAGAACTACGAGTATTCCCTAATGCTAACATGGAAGATCGAACCTTCAATTATTGAGAAAATTAAAGAAAAGGAATGACTGATACAAGTTCACACATTAAAACTTGCAGGAATATCCCACAGCCACCTCCTTTGAGCCTTCAGGAGCTAGTATTTTGGCCAAGCACCTGAATCCAATATACCATTTACATGATTGTAGCACCCAATAGTTGGTGGTGAAAGGCACAACTGAACTAATTCTTGAAGTGGGAATGAAGCAACAAATGCCAGTAAACGGTGTTAACAAGTCAGAAAAGCATAACATACAAAGTTTTCATATACAGAATCAGTCCCCAGAATTGGTGGGGGAAGTAATCAAAAAATTCCATTAACTTTCTAATAAAATGCACCATAACTATCAAACAGGTTACACCTATGGCTACAAGAAAGAATCAAGATCATGATATTATTAGTTTCAATATTTTCTGTGCTCCTGTTTAAGGTCCTCCTGTTAGGAACCTCCTATTTTTTTTTTTTTTTTTTTTTTTCCCCCCCCCCCCCCCCCCTCTTTTTCCCTTTTTAAATTAAAAAAAAAAAAAAAAGCAAAAAAAAAAAAAATTCTTTTCCAAATTTCCATCCCAAAACAATCATCACATGCATGGTAAAAAATACGAGCCTTGTGGTGATCCCGACTGTCTACGAAATCATTCGGTAACAAGCATTTTAAAGTTTGGAAGAAAATATTACCCCTCTTCAAGGCTTTCAAATTCAAGGGGAGCTTTGTCTGTTTCTATTTAGAAATATCATCACCCACCTTGATCTGCAACAAAGTAAAAAGTTGACAAGAACGAAATAATCACTATAAAGCAGTATATATGGAAAAACTTCCCACTGGCAAATTTACATCCTCGTAAATTTCAGAACTGACCTTATCGCCTTCGTTTTTCCTCCATTTAGCTATATTACCCTGATTCTGTAGGCAAACAAAGAGCAACATTCTTGAGCAGTGAGTAGTAGAGTGAAGAAAAACACGACAGTATAAGATTCAAATCAAGTCAGTTGAAGTTGTTCTGACCATGGTTGGGGATA